TCTGTTAAAATGCTGGGTTATAATAAAAACAGCGAAATATGGAAAAAAATCCTTCTCAATTCTCAAAGTATCGAAAAAAGGACAAAATTGACTTGTCTGATTATAAATTTAAAAAAAAGTAATATCTATAAAAATTCAAAAATGAAAAAAAACTTGGAAAAATACATTTTTAAAAAATATTAAGAAGGGCCAAATACTCGTTACATCCCTCCCTAATTTAAATGCAATGTTATTGCAACTTGAGAAATTCATAAAATGACGGAAAACGTGAATTTTTAAACTACTCACTGTTTGTAGTTTAGATTTCAATTTTTTGTTGCTTAAGTGATGTTTTTCGATAAAAAAAAAGGAAAATGATTACGATTTAAGAAAATCTAATAATTAATAATATAATAAAGTACATTGCAAAATAAGCATTGAATTTTATTTTGAACTATCAAAGTTTTGTTTTTATTTTAGGCTTTTGTTTAAAACCCATAAATTTTCTTCAATTAAAATATTTAATTTGAATTTATATTACTTAATTAGGACTAAACTTTTTCCTACTTTCATTCTGTGTCATTGCAGTTTTTTTTATTTATTCGAATTTAATTCTAAAATGAATTTTCGTATTGCATGATATGATAGAAAAAACATTTCTTTTCTTCAATGTTTATTTATTTTGATAAATATATTGTTCATATGATAAAAATAGGAAGTTGTTTTTTTTAAAAAAAAAAGTATAAGTTTTTTTATTTTTGAATGAATTCTAATAATGGAACACTACTAATTTATTGATATTACTAAGTTTATTAATAAAAAAAATGGAACGATAATGTTTAAATAAACATTATTACATTTGTCATTAACATGTCTAAATACATGTGCGGCCCTTCGTTAGCCAACCTGCTGTGCAAGTGGCCCTTTACTCAAAAAGGTTGTGCACCCCTAGTTTACAAGTTTAAAAATCACACTTTTTTTGTCAAATGTTTGTTTATTTATGTATATATATATTCTTGGATTTCCTCTTTTTTACTTTCTGACTACTCTCATCCCTGCTTATACTATTTTATGTGTGTTTTTCAAAAAGTATGAATAACTGTTTAAACTTTTAGAAGTTATAAAAATAGCATATTATCTAGAAAAAAATCTTTATTTCATGCCTTGACATATCTTCAAAAAACAGCCTTAAACTTAATACTATGATCCATGACTGTTTCAACTTAATGAAAGAAGTATCTTAGGTGGCAAAAAAATATTGTGGCAATTATTAGTTATCAAAAATAAAAAGAAAACGTAGAAAATGCAGAAATATTTAAAATATTTTTAAAAAATATACTTTGCAACATTTCTAATGAGTTTTCTTTAAACTTTTAACAAAATAATGTAATAAAATTCAAAATTATTATAAAACAAATGGACAAAATTTCCGCATTTAAAATATTACATGCAATTTAATGTAACAAATTTAAATTTAGATTATAAAATAAAAAAAAGAAGTATTTTCTCACGCTCTCCACCATCCTGAGCCTGTCATTATCATCCACATGTTCATAAGTTTTAAGATCGATCATAACGACATTTTACATTATTTCACCTTGTCAGTTACAGAATATTGTAACTTTTGTAAAAGTTTTACACATTTTGAACAAAGACTTATGTAATAAATACATTATTAAAAAACAAAAATAAACTATAATATTAAAATCAAGTCACTATGAGTAAGGATGGTAATGACAGGAATAATTTTTTTTTATCTTGCCTTATTATTTAATGCATTTACATATTTAGGTCTATTATTAACAATTCAATATATTATAAAAATTTAATATGGGCAAATTAAAGGATTTATGTAATTTTACGTATTAATGTTATTAAAAATTTTTCAACACTTTTTCTTTTTAATTAACAGACATTAAACAGAAAAAGAAGAAAAGAAATATTATACTTTTTGTTTTCAGTACTCAAAACCTAAAGTTTAACAAATTATCTTAATCATAGAGTTTAATGTTTCCGTATTTCATTAAATTATTATCATTGTAGTACTTAATTAAATCATTGGCATTGTGGTGCTTGTTAATTTTAAATTTTATTTATTTTTATAATCTTTGAAAGCTATCTGATTTATGTTATGTACATTTTTATTTTCTTGTATTAAATATAATTAAAATTTTTATCCTTGGAGTGATTTTCTTAATGAGACGCTGTATCCTACTAAGCTGGCTTAGCATTTTGACTTTACTATTGTCAGTCTCATAACTTATCAAAATTTGGATTAATATTTTGTAAAATTGCATGTAATACAGTAGGGAACCGATTATCTAAAACGATTGTGACCATCGCTATTCCGGATAACTGATTTTTCCGGTTTTCTGAATCGCTAAAAAAAGCCGTTTTTTTATTGTTAAACCCAACAACAACAACAAAAAAAAAATATTTGGAAATAATCTTAAAAAGAAGAAGAAACGATGAAGGAATACACTAATGATTATTTCCAAAATGATGGTAAGGTAAACATCTTTCAAAAAAGAAAGAAAAATCCTAAAATCTTACGAGGAAAAAAAAAATTTTTTTTTGAAAAGGGCGGGAAAATTTATTGAATTTCTTTCCGGTTTTTTGGTTTTCTGGGTTTTTGGTTTTCGGGTTCTGTACTGTATTATTTATTAATGACACTGCATATTTTATTTTTAGGTTCTAGATCAAGCAGCTCTTCCATCTGCCCACTTGCATATACACAAGACACCTTTTCTCTTTCTTCTGATAATTGCTATAGTAATAGAATATCAAGGACTATGGAACGTAGAAAAATGAATGGCTTTCCTTCAAGGAGAGAGGATAAAAATATGCCCAGACAAAGTGAAAAATGTGTTGCTCCTATAACTAACCCACGCAGTGAAATTGACATTTTATTAGGCGATGACATTAAAAAAGATGAAGTAGAAATTATAAGTGAAGTTTATCCTACAGTGCATTCATTTCATCCTACTAGAAAGATTAGGCTATTAAGCGACTCTAATGTCTCTGAAAATGGCAGAACTAGGTATAGAGATGATAGTTTTAGTAATAGGCCATGTTCCCCGTATCTTTGGAAGTCTTATACTGCTAATGAGGTAAGATGCCCTGAAATTATTTGAATAATCTTGTTGTTATCAGGGATGAGATTTTTCCTCTTAGCTGATTTCAGCTTTTTTCGCTCTTGTCTCACGAATTTCAACCTTTTTATCGAAAACTCTGATTCTCTAAAAGTTTCGGGTTTCTTTTATAAATATTCCGCTTTTTCTGCAAATTCCGTCATTAAAATAAAATGGCATTTATTTCCGATTTTAAAGATAAACAGAAAATTCAAATTATGTAGCTGCCAACCCTTCTGCATTTTTACTTATTTTAGCTATTTTCTCCACTTTTACATGCAAAAAATAAAATTTTACGTATTTAGCCCGTATTTTGTAATTCAGACGTCGCTGCTTCCTGTTTGCTGGCATGAAAGCAAACGAAATAATAAACAAGAAATAGTGCTGAAAATATTTATATGCCCATTAAATTAATCTTGTAAATTTTTATTTATTATGACTAAACAAAAACAATAGAAAAAAGCCTTTAAGAAATTTCAATTCCAGAATCTACGAATATCTTGATTCTTATTTGCATGATTTTAATATCTTACATTGCTGTTCTTATTTACGAGATTTAAAAATCCGATATCGCGGTTTGTATTTATGTGTTTTTAAAATCGTGATTTTATTATCAAACATCGATTTTCATATTTACCTGAATTAAAAGTTACGCATTGCGATTCTTATTCACATGATTCAAATATTGTGCATTACAATTCTTATTTATGAGATTTACAAATTCAATATTGTGATTTGTATTTACACATTTTCAAAACCTTATGTAATGATTTGTATATGCACGATTTTAAAATCCACTGTTTTGATTTGTTTATGCCGTTGTAATATCAAACATAGATTTTCGTATTTATGCGTGAATTAAAAATTAGACATGGGATTCGTTTTCTCGCTATCTAACAATTACACTTCATGATTTGTATTCGCATTTTTGAAATCCAATTTATGTCAGTTTCATGTTCACATGATTTTAAAGCCACATATCAGGATTCATATTTCTCTAAATTTAAAATCAAATATTGCAATACTTATTCACACAATTTTAAAACCGTGCATGTGATTCATAAGTGCATATTCATGAAAAAATTTAAATTAATAATCAGGATTTATTATCACATGGTTTAAAAATTACACTTTTGTGTCAAATTTTTGGATACATATTTTTTATATATATTTATTCATTCTTGGATTTCCTCTTTTTTACTTTCTGACTACTCTCATCCCTGTGTTATAATAATTTGTGTGTTAATACGGTAGACCTTGATCTTTCATTTCTCTTCAAACTCTTCCTTGAATTCTTTAGATACCAGAAGACAACTAGTACATGCCTTTGCCAGATATGAAGAAAATTTGTCCTCATCTCAGAAAATTTTTTAATAATCATTAAATTTTTAATTTATCATTTTCATTAAATAAAACAAGTAGTTTTTCTTATGAGAATAGCAACCCTGTTAATGAAAACGAAACTTTTTGGGAGCAAGTGATCTTTTAATTTAAAAAATTGGTGGTTGAGGGTACGTGGTCATTTTTTGAATTTTCAACATTTGCCAAAAACAATTAATCAAAAAATATGTACAAATGAGTATTCATTTTTTTTTTTTAATCTTCTACTTGTTTTTGTTAAATTTCGTGGAACTAAAAAAAAAAAATTCTCAGGACTTCGGCCGTCATGGAGAAACCTGAAATTGTCAAGGAATTTTATTTTGACTCTAAAGAACAGGAATTGTTGCATTTTTTTTTTCTTTTACAAAAATTATAAATTTCTCGTGTCATACCTGGAAATAACAGTCTCAGGTTATTGTGATTCAATTTAAATAATTCTAACATCTGTAGTAATTGTTTGTTGTGAAAATTACACATTTTTGTGAAACTTTTCCTTGCTTCCATCCTCATTCAATGATTTTTTTTTTGCTTACAAAATGTAAGATTTGTCTCTAGAAGTAAAAAAAATCTAAATTTCCCAATGAAAGAATGCTTAGTATTGATAAAATATCGTCTTAATTCATATAGAAATTTTCTTTAAATATCTAATCCTGGATTCGCCCTACTAATTTTGAATGTCTTTTTGTTTACTAAAAAAAAAAAAAAAATAAATCGGTTGGTCGTATAGCCTGGTCTCTTCTAAAATGCTTTTTAATTTAGAATTGATTTGCTGATAAATCTGTGCCTTAAAATTGTCTCACAGAATTTCCACTGTACTATTGGTATTATTATTTATTGGTTATTGTTGTCGATTGTCAGATTGGATATTTATTCCCAAAAGGAAACTGAAAAAATTTGAGTTTATTTGTTAAACAACAGTGTTTTGAAATGTCAGCAGAAGCACTGCAAGTGTTTAGATATAAGAACAGGGCACACATTGCTGTACTTTTCTCTTTACATTTTTTAGATAACATTTATATAACTGATTTTATGTAATTTTAGGTATTTAGATTGCAAGAAAAAGCTCAATACAAACTTTTGCTCGAGAAAGTTGTAAAGCGACCCCCTCTTTATCAACCAGCTTTTCATAAAGAGAATTCTCAGACATCAACTATCCAAGTAGACTTGACTGAGTATGTATTCTTTTTTATATATATATATTTTTTTTATAAAAAGATGGGGAGGTAGCATGCACATTCCTAGAGTTTTTCTTTTGTATATCCATAGCTGCCAAGTGTACAGATTTTATCGGAACGGTTCCGATTTTTTTGCCTTGTTCCGATAATACGATTTTGGGTCAAAATGTTCCGATTTTTCATCATAGCGTAATTTTTTCTTTTACTCTATAAAGCAATCCATGTTTGATTGGCGAAATCCAATCAAGTCACGTTATCACTTAGCTCCGCCTCTAGCTCCATTCTTATATTTGATGACGTATGTACGGGTCGCTTCACAGACACCAAGAGGAAATTTTAGCTTCCTGACTCCTTGTCTTTTACTTGCAACCGTACCGGTGTTGAATGTTTACTCGGAACGCATCTCTTCAATTTGAGTTTAGCTTTGAATGTTTTTCCACACGGTAATCTGAAAAAATGTCAAAAATTCGGCAAATTCAGTGTTTTTGCGACAAATGATTCAGCCTTGTTATTGACAAGTGTTTGATGAAAAGTTTTTAAAATCAGCCAAATCTACTACAACTGTAGCACTTAACGAGAATAATTGATTATTTTTTTTATATGTGTTTATTGTCACATATGTTTGAGTAATAATAAAATATTTTGTTTTTGAATATGTTTTAAATTGTTAAAATCAGCTATCATTTCTGTTTAATTAGTTTGTTGAATAAGAATAATAATCAGGTTGATATGTATTATAATCAATAATGATTGTTACATTAAGTCTTATACAGTTACAATTATACAAACATTTAGTGTAAAGAAGTAAACTTTAATGTCGCGACTGCGTGACATGTTCCTATTTTTTTCCCTGGCAGGTTGGCAGGTATGATATCTAATGTAATGAAAGGAACACTAAAAGCGTGATCTTATTTTTTAAGAATTAGTATAGAAAATTAACACCAGAATTCTTAAACCTTTATAAAAGTTAAAATGAGCTTTAAAATATCTGAGAAAATGTAAAAAATTTTCTTCTCATTTTAAGATTGATCTGAATTTTTTAATTTTCTGTAATTATTCTTGTATGTACATGGAATAAAAGTTATGAAATCTTAACTATTGATATTTTTATGAGCCAGTGAAGAATATGTTATATAGCTTTTTTTAAAAAACTACTTTTAAAGTGTCAAAGCAAATGCTTAACTTTTTATTTAATTAAAATAATTTAATAGTTTATCTAAGTCCGGAATGTTTTTGAAAAAGTAAATGATGCAAACTTTGTTTTAATTTTCTCGGAGATAAAAACAACAAAAGATTTTTAAAATTTAAAATAATGATTAAAATAACAAATAGCTAAAAATTATGAGAAAATGGTGAGGAAAACACTAGCAAAATGCAATGCTTTGTTTTAATTTTTATTATTACAGGGATGGGATTTTTCCGTTTTTTAGCGGATTTCAGCCTTTTTTGCTTTTGTTGTTGAAATTAAATAATTATATTTCCGATTTGATATATAGATATAATATGTAAAAAAATTCAAACTACGTACCTGCCACCCCTTCGTCATATCTACTTATTTTAGCTTTTACGGGCAGAAATTTCTTAATTTTTACCCGTCCGCTAGAGAGCTCGTATTTTCGTAATCCGGAAGTTGCTGCATTTTAATATCGAACGTCAATTTTTGTATTTACCTGATTTAAAAGTTGCTCATTTTGATTCTTATTCACACAATTTAAATATTGTTCATTGCAATTCTTATTTACGAGATTTAAGAATCCAATATCACGATTTGTATTGAGGCGTTTTTAAAATTCTATGTAATGATTCGCATTCACACTAATTTGTCCTATGTCATGATTCGTTTTTGTGTTTGTAATATCCAACATCTATTTTTGTATTTACACATGATTTAAAAAACACATTGTAATTCGTATTTATGCGATTTGAAAATTACGCATCATGATTTGTATTTTTACATTTTTGAAATCCAATATCGAGTTTCATTTACCTGATTTCAATACTGTGATTTATATTCACACGATTCTAAAATCAAAGATCGCTATTTGTATTTGCGCGATTTTAAAATCCATTATTGCAATTCTTGTAAAATGTAAGTTTTTTTCTTGAATTAGTTACTATAAATGTGAAAGTTTTTCTATCGATGATTATTGCTATATGCAGGCATTACAACATCAGCAAAACTGGATGAGAAAATGTTACTTATATTTTTGCTATAAATCACGTAAGATTTACTCACATGAAAATTCAGCTTTTTTGCCTTTTGGCCAAGCTCATCACTGAGTTATGGGTTATTATCAACTATTCTGTTAGTGTGTTCAAATTTTTATTAAACTAAATGAAGCATTATTTTGTTAAATTTAGTTTAGTATTTTATGATATGAGTAAGAAATTGTTTTTAAGCACTACAATATAACAACCACATAATTTTTATTATTTTTTTTTTATCTAATGTTGGGATTAAACAAAGTTCCCAACTTGAGTAATATCTTAGTTTGAATTTCTTTATGATTCAAATGTTCATGTTTTTATTTTCAATAGAGATGATGATGTATCAAATACACGTTGTCACTTTAAAAAAGAAAAAGTTGAAGAGAATGTGAAAGACTTCTTAAGCAAGTACTACAAACCATGTGCTCTTGTTCCTTACTTTGATAAAAAGAATTCTCAACTGAATCACACTCAAAGTGTGTCTGAAAAAGGTAATTTGTATTTGAATATATTTTTGCACGTTGATTTTAAGTATTCCAAAGATATGTAAGGTGTTGAAAATACTAAAACAATAAGATAACAGCAGAATAGGAAAATGTCAGGGTGTTTTAATTAATCTTGAAAAATAGGATTAACCAAAATACCCAAAAAACTGTGGGATATAAGTTAATTTCAATTTGAAGTACCTAAAACTGATTTTCTTTTTTTTTTGAATAACTATTTATTTTTAACTGTAGTAGCAAAAATTTAGTTTTGTGTCATATTTAGGCATTACAAAAAATTAATAATAAAATTTATGCTTAATATCAATCTGGAAAAGTGAGAATTTTTTTTCAAAGAGTTTGTTGCAACTCTGAATAAGTTTAAAATAATCTTTAAAAAAGAAACAATTGTAACAGAAAGTTTGTTGTTAATCTTATTTCTCTTTACTAAAATTAGTTTGCCTCAATATACTTTGTTTTAAGCTCTTTTTTGTTTACATTTTCATCTCACAAAAGAAAGAAGAAAAATATTTTCAATTTATTTTAAGTAGCTATTTCTATAGGCAGATCATGAGCAGAATACTCAGAATCATTACTAAAACAATGCTTATTTGTTCTTCTCAGGAGGGCAATGTTAAACTTTTTCAAGACAACCATGTTTAAAATTTCTAATTGTATCATTCAAAAAGTTATGAAAAGATTTCCACTCTTTTTTAGTACTCTTTCCCTTGTTTCATGTACTGTCTTTAGCTAGCACAATACTCTTGCAGTTGTCTTATCAAATGATCTTAATCTTTGCTTATGCTTACATTTGTCTGGCAGATTTTATGAATTCATTGTGAAATATTGATCTCTTTCAGTAAATTAACTGACAAAATTGGTTAGAAGAATTAGTAATAAAGTTTTGGAAAGAATTTTTTAGGTTTGAGAAATTTACTGTGAATGTGAAAATTGACAAATTTACATTTGTTCATTTAACTAAACAAATGTAAATTTTATTTTGTAAAGAAGTACTACACAATTGTTTACAAATAAATTAAGCGAAATAATGACTTAATGATGCATTTATTTAAAAATAGTTTTGAACACGGAAGTTTAGAATCTTTTTTAAAATACATATTTCATATTTATTTTTAATTTTGAGAAAACTGAAATGTGCTTTAATTTTATTTAGGATATAATATGATTTTTTATTTAGAAAATTCTCTTAATCTTTATAATTTAGATTGTAAATGAATTAGCACAAAAAAAAAACATTCAAAATATTATTCTCTGTGCATTAATTTGATATGGTTCTTGTTTTATTTTCATGTTTTTTTGCAGTATCATGTGTATAAATATTCAGGATGTTCTATAATGCCTGCCCTCAATTTTAATTTTTAAAATCTTAATAATGAAATTAAAAAATAATTATACACTAAGGATTGCAAATTTATATTTAAGCTATAATTAAAAAAAAATGCTTTCAAATTGTAGCTTGCCCTAATGACAAAAAATGGACTAAAAACATAAAAATCTGTTTTGTTGCTTGGGGAAACAGAAGTTTAAAAGTGATAGTTAGAAACTAGCGAATTTTATTGGACAATGAAATTAGTTTTGATGTTTTTCATCTCACTTTCCTCATTAAATTATTTGACTAATTTTGACAGCATTTTAATTGTCTTTACTTAACTATTTTAGCAGAAATTTGTGTATGCTTGTTAGACTAGTTTTGTACGATAATTCCGAAAATGTCTATCAAAGACAATCATTACTGAATACTCTATATTTCATTTTACATTTACTGTATACTCTATATTTTATTTTTTTCGCACTCAATATTTCATTCCATGTTTATTTTCCACCAAATAAAAATTATTTTCTTACATTTGCAGAGTCAAGTGATGAAGAGATTCAAGTTATTGAGTATTCTGAACTTCCAAAATGGAAGTATGTTTCTTTTATTTATTACTTATTGTTTTAATTAATTTATAAGTTGTTTCCATTTTTGTAATTGTGTGTAATTTTTTCCTTTTTTTACTCGTCATCAACTCTCTTATAAAAGTGCTTTTTTTTAATTTGAAACAATGACTTTTTTCTAGATCAGAGGTTTTCTAACTGATAATTGTGGATTGAAATTTACGAATTTTTATTCGAAATATTGTTTTATTTTTCTAAAATTCATAATCAGATGAAGACTTATGCGTTAACTCATTGTTATTTAGACAAATTTTTATCACTATGCTATGCTATTTCAGTATTTAAAATGAGTCTCATATATCTATAGATGGTTTGAGCAACTTTAGAAATCATTGGAGTAGCTTTGAAATTTCTTTAGAAAATCTAGTTTTGAAATTTCTTTTTCCTTAATGTTTTATTTTTTATCTTCACATTCAAAATACTTAAACAACATTTTTGCAAGAAATTCATGTATTTATCTATGATCAAGTACTATATTTTGAACTACTTTATTATATTTTTATTAAATAAGAAAAAAATCTTAAAATTTCTTTATACCTAGATAAAGTTATTATAGTAGATATAATTGTTAATGTCAATTTTTTAAACATAATTTTGATAGGCATATTTGCAACCAAACAAGGATATTTGATAAAAGTTTAATTTAGGCATATGTTCTATACATGACAGATGATATAAAATTTATATTTCTTAATGCCATGATCACGACATACAGTTTTATTTATCTATATACAGTAGAGCGCCGATTATCCGAACTGCTCGGTGCCGAACGTGGTTCGGATAATTGGAAAGTCGTCTAAAATCTGGTTTAAATTATTAATACTTATACACTAACTTCCCTTCGCACTTTTTCCATGCAGTTGTATCTAAAATAGCTCTGACGTGTTTAAAAGTCTTTTTTTTTTTTTTTTTCAATTTTTAAATATTTCTTATTTATTTTTTTTAATTTTAAATTTTTCTTATATTTCAGCTCTTTATATTTTTTTCCTCAATTACTGATTTTACCACATTTTTCTTTATTTTCCATTGCAAAAGAAATCCAGCAAAGACTTTTGTTTCAAAGAAGATGCTCTTTTTTGAGCAGCCATATCCCTTATTCTTTTTAAGTAAATCAACTGAACTGGATCAACATCATTTTGACATTCTAGCCAATTCATTACAATAACTAACGAATTGCATGCATCTATATGAGAAGGTACACTATCTTGAGCTTGATCGCCTGCTTCTTCATCTTCGTCTGTGGAGTTCCGATTTACATTCAAAATTTCAGCAACAGTTTCATTATCATTTGAAATCCTGGGTCGTATCATTAAAGTTGTAAATTAAATATGGTCTTCAGATGTAGTGGATATTATTTATACTAGGATATAATTGTCGATAAGTTAAAAGGTATTCAAAACTTTCGGACAGTTCAGATAATAAGGCTTCGGATAATCTGCGCTCTACTGTATATTTACTTTTCACACTTAAATACATTTCTCTTTGGTAATTTTTCTTTGCCATTCAGCTCTTGTGCTATGTATTTGAAAGATGCCAGATCAGTTGGTTGTTCTATGTTCTTGTACTTTGTAGTTTTTGACACAGTACTTCTTAGTCGGCTTTCGAATTGTGAAAAAAAAAAAATATATATATATTATTTGTTAAGTAATTTTGCAACATAGTTTGAAATGTATGTCTTCTAATTAAGATGTGGACAAAACCATATGATATATTACTTGGTTGAGGACTGAAATATCTTTAAATAAAATTTCTTCAGTTTTCAAAAAATTAAAATCTAAACATTGAACTGTGAAGTTTATGATACTCATAGCCTCAACATTATTCATTCTATTTAATAGTAAAATTAAATGTTATAAAAAATATTTTTAAAAAAATAAGAAGAAAGAAAAAAATGAGGAACTCTTTTTATTAGAGAAGTTTTATTATATTTTTTATTTCTGTACATCAAATCATTTTTTTCCCACTAATTATCTTAAATTTTAAACTGACATGAAATATATTGTGATGTAAATTTATCTTAAAACCCTTGTTTGTTGTTAACTCTGATTTTTTCTTATTTTTTTTTCTTATGAATTGTATTAACTCTGATAAATGAATAAGAAATGTTTTATTTCTAGACCTAGAAAAACTTCAATGAAATGTGCTGGCCTTTTCTCTGATGCTTGGATTGCAGACTTGTAAGTTAACTTTAATTTTATATAATTTAGTTTTATTATTATTATTTTTTTTGTACAAGGGAGGAGAGGCAAAAATCTGAAATTGACAAGGAATTTTATTTAGACTCTAAAAAGTAGGAAAGTCGCATTTTTTCACTAAAACCTAAAAGATTCCTAGAAAATAATCAGTTTTAGAATTGCCAGTAACAGCAATCAGTTATTCAGATTTTTTACTCACATAATGTAATAATCGTCATTACAAATTTAAAAAAAATCTGCTTTTTTTTTATGGAAAATTGTATGGTATAGATAAAATACGGCCGTGATTTTCATTTAAATTTACCTGTTATATCAGGAAAAGTAAAGGATTTTTTTTCTTTCTGAAATTGAATGGGAATCCTAGAATTTGAATAAATAAAATCTTCTTTGAAAATGAGTGAAATCAGCTAAAAATTCAGAATGAGGTGCAGTTTGGTATAAGTAATATTTTCGAAAAAAGAAATGTAGGATTGCTACTACATGTGATTAGTAGTTTAAGCAAATTTTTAAAATAAATATCTTCTAAAACGTTCATTAACTGGTCATATTGACGGAGGTTCTAACAATTATAATTTATCCATAATTATTACAATTTCATAGTCAGGGTTACGGTTGAATAATAAAAATGTTTGGTCTGTACGAATTTTCATAATCTATTTAAAGTAATTTTTTTGCCCTTAACTACTAAGATTTATGAAATCTTATCTGCAACTTATTTAGGATAATTATTTCAAATCCTTAAATACTTCTAAAACTTAATCTTTCATTTTTTTAGAAGAGAGAAGGAATAATACTTAAATATGAAATGCTGTGAACAAAAGTTGGTAGGGGCTCAATCATAGATGATACAAAAAAAAAAATAAGGAATATTATATAAAAATAAGGAAAAAAATAACAATGCGCATATCACGCCTTGCATTTGTTTTTATAAGCATCGCATTGTAATTTGGGTTTCAAATCGGTTATATCGTCAACTTTCTCATAAAATAAGGAATATGAATAACTGAAATGTCTTTAAAAAAAGTTTCAACTCTTATGTTATTGTACTATACATGTGTGAAATTTTTCATTTTATACACATAAACATATACAGTGTAACTATTATTTTTGGCTCTACAAAATCTTTAAAATTATTCTAAGTGCATGAATATTATTTGCCGCTGTATCGATTTAAATCTTCAGAATATTTATTTTATTATTGTATCAGTTTTTTTTATTACAAAATTTAATTATAATTACATAAATTAAATATAATTTTAACCATATTGTATTTGTGGGCTAATGTTGTAGTTTTTTTTAATGTTATAGGAAAACTAGCATGATTGAAAAAACTGAAAAAACACTTCAGCATGTATATGAAAATGAGAAAAAAGTTCATCGTTTTAAAGCAAGAGTAAGTTTTTTGTTTTCCTATATCTTTGAAATTTCCATTAAATGTTGTTTCACTTTAAATAATGAACATAGCTTTTATGAGAATTTATTTTTCTCAATATTTTAATTTAATCCCCCTCAAAAAAAATTTTTTCTTTTTTCTCTGATTCCTACTTATGCAAACATGATTTAAAATTGAACTTTATGATCTATATTCACATTATTTAAAATAACTCATTGTAATCTGTATTTATGTATGGTTTCAAATTATTAATTACCATTCAAATTCATGTGATATAAAATCTACACAATCAAAGTATAAAAATAGAATTAAACAAAAATTAAGAACAAAATTTAATTTAAAAATATCAAAATGGAAAAGTGCTACTAAAACCAACATTATCTTAATTAAATCCTTTGTTTTTTACCAAACATTCACATTCTGAATAGAGGCAGGATGGATTCGGTTTATTTCACTGAAAATTCCATTTCAAAAGGCAGTCTCTTCACAAATTTCTGCTTAGTTAAAGCAACTTTTTTTAAAAACGCTATATCATTTTTACAAAATTACACTTAAAACTAGAACAAAATTTAATTTAAAAATATCAAAATGGAAAACTGCTAAAAAGCAACACTAAAACCAACATTATCTTAATTAAATCCTTTGTTTTTTGTTTTTTACAAAACATTCACATTCTGAATAGAGGCAGGATGGATTTGGTTTATTTCACTGAAAATTCCATTTCAAAAAGCAGTCTCTTCACAAATTTCTGCTTAGTTAAAGCAACTTTTTTTTTTTAAACGCTATATCAGTTTTACAAAATTACACTTAAAAAAGGCTCTATCACTTTTGAGCTTAATAAGCTTGAGCAAAAACAAATCAAATCATTCATTAAGCATGTTCAGCATAATCAGAAATCCTTCAACAATGTAGGTAAATGTAAAGTAGTTTGGAAAATTTAAAAAAAAAAATGAAACTTAGATTTTCTTTCTGCCCAAAATACATCTCTTTTGTTTATATATATTGTCATTGCTTGATTGTGCATTTGTACAAAATTCATTTCAAAGTAGTAAAGAAAAATTATATTTTCAGAGAGAAGCTAAGACTGCTGAGGAAATGGTAAGTTAACAATATTTTAATTATAATGTTGCTATTCTTTAACTATAAAACCTAATTTTTTTTAATACTTTTTTTTTACTGTTCTAAAATTTTCCTCTTTTGAGTTCTATCTTAATTTTTAAAAAAGATACTTTTTGGGTGAAGTTTCAATTTTATACTTTTTTTTATTTTAGCGAAGACGTGAAGAGCAGCGCTTGGCGGGTTTTATATTTCCTGAAGATGTGGATATGGAAGTGGAAGTTCTTCCAGGTAAATACTCTTTTATAAAAAAAAAATCTATATAAACGTTTTTCATAGATCTGTATGTTGAAGGTAAAGGACACCCCATGTTCATTTATTTCTGAAATAGAGTTGACACTATGTCCGTGTTTTAAATTTTTTTACTCTATCTAGTGATATAGGGCGCTATATCCTGTCATAATAAATGGTGAAGTTTGGCAGTTTGAAGGAACACCATGTCCAACTTCCTCTAGTGGTAAAAGATACTAAAGCCAGCTCTTAAAAAATTAAATTTTTGTGACAGTGTCCTTTATCGCCAACATACAGAGTTATAACATGATTGTTAAAAATGTTCATTGTTTTGTTAGAAATCACTCCGGAAATGGATGCTATAATTGATAGGGCTTTTGCTCCAGCACCTTTGGATGAAAAGCTTAGCATTTTGGAAGTGCGGGAAACCCTTGAGATTGCAAGGAATGATGTAGCTACGTTAGCTCATCTAAACTGGTTGAATGATCAGGTAATTTTTTGTGTATTACTTCTAAGTGAAGGAAAAAAGTCACTCTCCGGAAAGCTCATGAAACCCCTTGTAGTTTAATTTTTAAAAAAATCTATATTTTTTTTTCCTTCCTCAATTTAAGTAAAAGCTTGACTTACCAGAATTTTTGTAAGGTTTTTCAATAAATTTAATTTAAAAACAACTTATTACATTTTTTGGACAACTTTGTGTTTGGACAAGTTTTTTCTCTTTTATTAAAAAAGAAACATTATTTTCACGCTTTGATTCAAGAAAACTTAAGTTTTAACTAAGATGCTTCACTTTTTTTCTGAAAAATACTGCTATTTAAAGAGTTTCATCATTGAAGCATCCAAAATTAGATGATTCTCGCACATTCCAGATGGCTTAACTTAAAATGAACTAGGTATCTAGGACTTAAACTTTTTTTAAGTGTTGAACATTTGCAACAGTTTAATGAAAAAGTTACTTTAAGCATAGGGTGTGTGGCGTGTTAGGATATGTAGGGTAATGTCATGTTTGTTTTGCTTAAAAATATTTTTTGACTTGATTTTAAAGAAAGAAAAAAAATTGTGGCGCATGATTTTAGAAGTGAATTTTTAGAATTGAATTGTCAAAATTGTTTAATTAGACTTTTTACTTTGTTAGAAATATATTGAAATGAACTTAGTAATTTTGCACAACCTTAAAACTGTAAGATGCACTTAATTCCAAAACTAGAACATAATTGGATAATGATTTCAAAATTGATTTTAAACTGTTTAATGAGTTACCCTTAAAGGTTGACGTTTTTATTACTAACTTTGCATTTGTTCAAATCAATCATAATTTTAAAAAATAAATTCTATGTTTTAATGTAACAGTATTCTTATCTTTTATATTTTATTCCTTTAGGTGATAAACTTTTATTTGGGCTTAATAGAAAGGAGAAGTAAATTGGATGGCTATCCCACTGTATTCTGCTTTAATTCTTTCTTTTATTCTAAACTGAAAAAAGAGGGTGCTAGTCGGCCACTTCTAAGATGGACTAGAAAAACAGATATATTTGCGAATGATCTCATTATTGTGCCTCTCCACTTAGAAATGCATTGGGCCTTATTAGTAAGTACTTATTTTAAAACTGAGCAATTGTGTCCTCATTCTCCCTAAAAGTGTTCATTTTTTTAAAAATATAGATGTTCCAATTTATACAATTCATCCATAATTATTGCAATCTTATGGTTGAGTAATAAAAATTATGGTTTTTGAGAATTTCTGCAATAATCTGTTTTCAAAATTTTTCCCCGTAACTATAGTGCGGCTTTGAGGAGAACTCCAGACCAAATGTCTGGGACTGTCTGCTGCTATGGTTACAAGCTACAGCACATTTCTCATGGGGGAATGAAGGTGTTAATTAGTTTACTCACGCTGACCTATGCAAAGAACAAGACAAAACTATTCACCCCTATTCGAAGTGACTTTTCCTCATAACCGCGGTACACACCATGACGCGCGACTGGTATCTGGTGGAGTTCTCCTGAAAGCCGCACTATACCAAGAATTGGGAATTTTTGTAGATTAAAATTTATCTATGATATTTTTTTTTATCCCAGGGTTACCACAGGCGACTAAAATGCAGCTATTTGCAACTATTTTTGGCATGAGGCGACTATGGCAACTTTTTTTGCCTGAAAAGGTTTTAAAAAAAAGCAACTATTTTCAGGAAAAGGAGACTATTGGGAGACTTTTGTGTACTCCTAGCGATTATTTTTTTAGCATGACCTGGGTTGAAAATCTGCGGCCCGCGATAATTTCTGAACACACTGAACTTTATAAATATTTCCTAGATCAATTATTGATAAAGGGAAAATACTGCTAGAATATCAACTTTTATATAAAAATTATCACATTTGCCACCAGCTTGACTAAATGGATCGTGGTATATGACAATTAAGTCATTAACAAAAGTTTATTCATATTTTTTATGAATTTTTGTTCTTATTTAGGCAACTATTTTCATAGTTTTTGGCTACTATTTTCATGCTTTAAGCTACTAAAAGCAACTATTTTGTTCATTTTTTTCTGTAGCAACCATGTTATCCTTAAACAGTTCTAAAAGCAAAAAAATCAAATCTTTCCCCTTCCAACAAGTTTTATCGTCCTCCTTATAGAAAAGCGAAAGGACATAAACTGCAATCTAAAACGCTGTGATCAAAGGTTTCAAATGTATGATGATAAGAAGGCAATAAGAGCTAACTCTAATTTAAACAAGAACATTTATTCCAAGTAATCAAGTCAATTGTATCATTTTATAATGAAGTATAACTTTTTAGTTTTGTTTTGTGCCTTAATCTAAATCTTATTATTTTTTTTTTATTTTAAAAGTAAATTCAAGCACTGTTTATTAATATTATATATCTATATGAAAGTAAGTGGCATATACATCTTAAAATTATGCTAATTTGAATCTCCTAAATACTAACTATTAATATTTTTTTCGTACTTCTGATTATCAATAACTAATGTGAAAAGTTGGCACCTATAAAAAAAAATTAAACAATTGAGCAATTTCAGATTCTATTTTAATTTAGTAACATCATGTAAATGTTACTTTTTTTTTATTTAAAAGTAAATTCTGCATATTTTTATTAATATTATATACCTATATGGAATTAAGTAATATATGCATCTTATAATTATGCTTTCAGTTTCATTAACACTAACTATCTGTATTTTTTTGTTATCGTACTTCTGATAGCTAGTGTAGAAAGTTGGCTCCTCTGAAAACATATTAAACAAATTAGACAATTTCAGTTTCAATTTCTCAGACTGTCATATAAAACATTTAAGTGATGATTTTTTTAAAAATATTATCTTATTAGAGTTTTTATTAAATGAAACTAATAATTAGTAGGTCATTCACTAATTTAGATTTTTTAACTAACACTTTTGACTGTTTAGCCATACATCACATATCTTTGTTACTTAGGAATGTTCATAAATTTTTTAGTTATAAAACTTTTTCTGATTTTTTTTTTTTAAATCTATTTAAGGAAGCATTCATTTACAACACATAAATATTTTAAACTTCTGATTATAACTTCTTCCAATTAAATACTTCTTTCAGGAAATTCAGAGATTCATTTTGTGAGATGAAGGAAGTTTTGAAATTTAGTTTTATTTTATGTTTGATTTGGAAATAATTACAAAAATTTTGTATGGGTAACTGAGGAATTGTCCACTAACTTGTTTTTGTAGTATGGCATTGTGTCTATTGAAATCTATTTCAATGGTTTAAAAAAATCTTATAAGTCAATTATTACATTTTAAATTTAATTAAAAAAAAAATTGTAATACGTTATTCAGCTACTACTGTTCAGTCTCTTTAAAAGACTTCTAACTAATGTTTCTGTTCCCCTCTCTAGATTATGAATGTCTGTTTAAGAGGTACACTGTACACAGCCTAAATTCAGAAATCTTTCTAACCAAACAAGTTATATAAACAGTGTTCCACATTCTCATATCATGATACTATTCAATTAATACCTTAAAAAAGAATATTAACACAGTCTTAAATTTGTGTCAGATTGTCTATGTATTCAATACTGAGCCAAAATTTTTATTTTCATCTTGACAAGTTTTCTTTTTGAAAATAAATTACTTGGAACACTAACACTGGGAATGCCTCCACTGGTTTTCCAGTGGGTGGTAGAAGGGAAATAAAATACCTTCCGCGAACCAACAGGTAGAAGTCCAACCTCTCGAGGCAATGGCGAACCCCTCTATGACGTCGGAGGTGTGGCCAGGGCTGTGCTCCATTTCTTCGGTCCCATTTGAATTGTACTTTTCTGCACTTGTCAAGCGACAACAACAAACAATTCTGCTTAAAATGTGCAATATCTTTAAGAATTCACCAGCATACTCTTCATGAAGAATCATGCTCCCATGAGAAAATAATTAGTGATTAAACAAAATTCTTTCATTTCAATAGAATGTATCATTGATGAGATTTTTTAGCGTATTTCCACTTGTCTTTTGTCATACGAAATTCAGCCTTTTAATCAAAAAATGCAATTCTCTAAAAGTTTCGGGGTTTTTTTTTTTTAATAAATATTCCACTTTTTCTGAAAATTAAGTCATTTAAATAAAATACTTATATTTATGCCCAATTTTAATAGTTAAGCAGAAAATTCAAACTATGCCGCTCCGTTTTGCATTTTTACTTATTTTAGCTATTTTCTCCGCTTTTATGCACAGAAAATAAGATTTTCCATATTTTTACCTGCCGCAAGATAACTTTTATTTTTGTAATTCAGACGTTGCTGGTTACGATTCTTATTTACAATATTTAAAAATCCCATAACATCAATTTTCGTATTTACCTGATTTAAAAGTTGCACATTGCCATTCTTATTCAAGTGATTTAAATATTGTACATTGCTATTCTTATTTGACAGATTTAAAAATCCAATAGCGCAATTTCTATTTATGCGTTTTCTAAAACCCTATTTAGTGATTCATATTCACTTTAGTTTAAAATCCAATGTCGTGATTCGTTTATGCAGTTGTAATATGATACATAGATTTTCCTATTTATACATGATTTAAAAATTAGACATTGGAATTTGTATTTACACGATCTAAAAATTATGCATTATGATTTGTTTTTTCGCATATGTGTATTAATTCATTCTTGGATGTCCTCTTTTTTACTCTCTGACCACTATTATCCCTAATATTTCCTTTGGGTTTTTCACATTGTGTATATCAACTGTTCTTTATTGAATTGCTCTTAATAAAATGATGATTTTGTCTTTGACTAGGTTGTTGACCAGAGATGTAAAAAGTTGAGTTATTATGATAGCATGGGTAATGGTGAGGGAGCATGTCTAAAAATAGTTGAGTAAGTACATTATGTTTTAAATATTAATGTTAATCACTAAAATTTGTTTTTACTTGCAATAGTTGTGAAATTTTTTGTTTCTTTTTCAGAGACTATCTTATAGCTGAAATGAAAGATAAAAAGAAAACTGCTATGCAGCCAAATACTTACAGTTATGAAATTGTGAAGGTAAAATAATACTAAAAAAAATTATTATTGGTTGTTATCTGTATTTATGAAACCAAGTGATAAATTAATATTGTTGGAATATATGTAATTAAATTAGGATAAGAGATTCTTATTGATTAATTCCAAATATCCACTTTGTTTTTCAAAGTTTTTATCATTTACCAATTTTTTTTTAATTTCATATATCTGAAGATATTAAAAAGTAACCACCCTGACAGAAAGTCTAAAAACTAACCTAAATTAACTTTATACTCATAAAGTGTGAAAGATTAAGTAAAATGTTGGGGTTTCCAATGTGGCGTATAGAGAGTGAATCACTAATTTTCATAAAATTATATATTTGCTCTGTTTAAATAAGGTTCCTATGACCACTTTCATATTATCTAAATATTTCTCTTATCCCCATGAAGCAATATTAAAATTTAAGTATGGTTAAGTAGTAAATTTACTGCTCGCAAAATAGTTGACTTATTTCCCCAAATTAATTCATTTTAAATTTTTTTATTTATTTATTTTTTTTAATTTCACATCTTTTTGCTATGTTTCTTGATTTTTGCCATCTGTGTGTGCATTACATTAAAATAAAACTTAAAGCACTAATATCTTATCCTTCATTATGTTTACTTACTTCTTTTGGAAAATCTTTTTATTTTATTTATTTTTGTTTATTTTAATATGAGTAGTTTTAATATCTTATCTTTCAGAATATGCTTAATGTTACGTTATAATAATTAATTGAGTGACAATCTGTAATATTTTCAGGATATTCCAAAGCAAATGAATGGTAGTGACTGTGGCATGTTCACTTTAAAATATGCTGAATATATCTCTAGAGATGCGCCTATAACATTTACACAAGTACGTAGAAAAAATACTTACTGATATATTTTTACTATATAATTAACTGGTCTTATTGCAATCGGTATGTCCAGAAAGTTTGCTGGTGCATGCATCATCTAGTATTGTAGAATTGGCCCCAATACTATCTGCGAATTCTTCTAGATATGTTTATATAGTTTTACTTAGTTGTGAGGAGTATTTGTAATTTTTTTTTAATGAATTTAAAAATACTGTAATTTGTTAACTGTCTCATTGAGTGCAGATGTTTCATACTTAGGACTAAAAATTTAGTCTTCAAATAATTTTGAAGGCTAAATTTGAGACTGGGAATTTAAAAAAAATTTGTTTATTTTTTATAGTTAATTAAATTTTATTTCTTTTTAAAATATTTTTGATGATCAACTTTTGCACAATAGCAGATACTGATTTTTTATTTAAGGTTCATACAAAAAAAATCTAATTTTGTTCATATCAACTCAATCTACTTGAGTAAAAGAAGGACTATATTTTTATAATTAAATTATTGTTTGGTTCTTGGATGAATTTATCCTATAGCCCTCTTATATTTTAATAAATTAATGTAGGGATTTATGAAAGAATTATCTTAAGCAACTAGACATTTTAAGTAAGGTCGAAATGTTGAAAAAAATTCTTTAAAATGAAAAAGGGGACTTTCTTAAATGTGATTTGATAAATGGTAGGCTTATTAAGTAAATTTCTGAAAAACTTTTTTGTCTGCTTTATTATTAACTTTTTATTACTTTTTTTAGGAACATATGCCTTATTTCAGGCGTAGAATGGTGTATGAACTGATTGCCAAACAGATACTGTGAACCAAAATTCAATGCTTATATTTATGAAACGTTAAAATATATTATTGACTAATATGTTGCTTCTCCATTGTACATAGGATCAGTCATCATTTTGAAAAACAGTTTACTTTTTGTATTAACGACATTTCAAATTACAAATCATCATTTATTTGTCTTGCCTTTATTTTAAATTAACTGCATTATATTTGTACATTGTAAATATGAAATCAGTTTCCTCTAATAGTTTGTAATGAAAATTAAATAATGATTCTAACATTGCCATGACCTTTTCTTTGAAATGCTGCATACACACTCCCATAAATTGTATATTTAAAATTGAATAAAGGTTTATTTTGAATATAAGATGTTATTTTGAAGTCTTGCAGACAAAGATAGGAAGTATATTCTGAGTTGGGAAATATCTTGAAATAAAATGAAGTTTGAGCAACCTGGAGGGTGAGACAGCTCCAGAAATGCCTTTTCATTGCAAAGTTGCCAACTTTTCTGCCCTTTGCATTCATGCCCCATTTTCTACTCTGAGACTCAAATCGTTTTCTTTTTAAAAACTAGAACATCAGAATTTTGTACTTAAACAGGGTATTGGCAGGGTAAACTTGATTCGAAAAAGGTCTGGGGAAAAAATAATTTTGCCCCAAAACCAGGAGGGAAATTATAAATGCTAATAATTAATTTGAAATGTTTGCAACTCTTAATTAAAATTAGTATACCATTCTTGAATCAGCGTATTATTTACATAAAACTCTCAGGGAGTGTTTCTAACATAGAACAAAGTTTTTATGTATGTTCCTGATGTTATGTATATTAAACAGAGTATCTGCTTTGTGATTAATCAGTAATAGTTCTATTGGACTGAGCAATCTATTGTGCTGTCATAATGAATAACGTTCTAACTGTTTCAGTTGAATCAGAAAACGCGTTTTTTTTTTTTAAATTGGCGGAAACCGCTAGTTTGATGAAATATTGCATAACAGGAAGGAGATTTTTCTGCTTTTTTTTTCGTTTCACGAATTTCAGCATTTTAATCAAAAGCTGCGATTCTCTAAAAGTATCGTTTTTTTTTTAATAAATATTTCAGAAAACTCAGTCGTTGAAATAAAATAATCATATTTATTTCCGATTTTCACAGGTAAACAGAAAATTCAAACTATAACGTAGATGCTAACCTTTCGCATTTTTACTTATTTTAGCGATTTTCTCCGCTCTTATGCTCAGAAAATAAGATTTTCCGTATTTTTACCTGCCCACACCAGATAGCTCGTATTTTCGTAATTCAGATGTAGCTCTTTGCTGGCACGAAAGCAAACTAAATAATAAAAAAAAAATAGCGGTAGATTTCCGGTGAAAATATTTATTTGCTCATTCTATTAATCTTGTAAATTTTCATTTATTATGGCTAAACAAAAACAGTACAAACAAGCCTTTTAGAAATCCCAAGCCCAGAATCTTCTAATATCTCTATTCTTAATCACGCGATTTTAATATCAATTTTCGTATTTACCTGATTTAAAAGTTGCGCATTGCGATTCTTATTCACGCGATTTAAACATCATACATTGCGTTTCTTATTTACAAAATTTAAGAATCCGAAGCCGCTATATTTTATTATCAAACATCGATTTTCGTATTTACCTGATTTAAAAGTTTCGTGTTGCCATTCCTATTCACGCGATTTAAATATCATACATTGCGATTCTTATTTGCTACATTTAAAAATCCAATAGCGCAATTTGTATTTATGCGTTTTCAAAACCCTATTTAGTGATTCGTATTCACTCTAGTTTAAAATCCAATGAGATTCGTTTATGCGGTTGTAATATCAAACATCGATTTTCGTATTTATACAAGTCTTAAAAATTAGACTTTGGGATTCGTATTCACGCTATCTAAAACTTATGCATCGTTATTCGTATTTACACGATCTAAAAATTACGCATCATGATTTGTATTTTCGCATAGATATATATTCTTGGATTTCCTCTTTTTTTTTTTTACTATCTGACTACTCTCATCCCTGTACATACGGCAGTTCATTGAATACATTTTGATTCCTTAGAGGTGCAGTATCATTTGCTTTAGTTATAAATCATCTGCTTTTATAATGAAATAAAAGCAGAGGATTATTTATTAATATAAGCATACAATTGTTTATTAATATAAGCATACAATTATTTATTACTAAAAGCAGAAGATTATTTTATAAAACAGATTGCATAGTCTTATTTTTAGTTTCAGTCACGTTTATAGTTCTGACAATTTATTATTTCGAATCAGAGTTGGCATAACTTAAATCTCCTGATTTATTTAAATAAAGATAATTTATAAATTCTTACTTAAGTTGCTATTTTATTTGTAATTTCAATTTACATTTTTATTGAAAATAATTTATTTTTTTTAAATTTGGAATTTTCCATAAAGCAACCTGGAAAACCTGGCCCAGTCAAGTAAAAAAATACCTTATTTTTGAGAATGAGCCCTACATACAAATGTAAGTTTGCACTCTCAGGCCTGGCTCAGAATTTTCACTGTGCTCCCCCTGATTGATGTTGGTCAGTAATTAATGCATAATATAAAATGTTAAGCATCTGGAAGTAAAAAAAAGAAATAATATTCTTCTATTTCTGATTTATTTGAACTTGTTTGTGTTAAAACAATATATTACACTTGTGGGACAATTATACTGATGATTCTCTGAATAAGAAATAAAAAGCAAAATATTTTGCATTTTCAGTCATTTCTTTTGCAGTTTCGAGAATTTTCTACATTTTAAAGGATGGGGGTCGGTCAGTCTTAAGCCTGAAATATTGACTCTTTTTCTCTCACTAAATACATTGAAAATAATCAGCTAGTGTGAAACAATGTAACAGGGGGGGGGGGNGGGGGGGGGGGTAAAAGAACAAGGTTTGTATGATCTACTGCCCGCTAAAATGCAGCTACAGAATTGATAAGGCCATTTTGTATTATAACTGGATTTTTCTTTTCTTCAAAATTCCTATTTGTTCGAAAGTTATTGCAAATTTAAAAACTTTTTGGTGATTTATTTTTCTTCATCTTTTTTGCTTTAAATATCCATTGTTGTAGAAAATTTATTGTCCCTCTCGAGATCTTTATTTTATAAAGCTCGAGTAAATGTCAATCAAGAGTAGCACCGGAAAAAAGTGTGAGAGAGAACTTATATTTTACCAGATATTATTCTTAACATAATGGGATTTTTAGAACTGAACAACTTAATTAATAATAATAAATGTTCCCTATTTGAATTGTTATAAGTCTCTGCAAAAAGTAAAATTTCTCACAAAATAATTCTCATTTATTTCTTCTAATTGAATCTCTATTTCTTGTGTTAAAATTTTTACCAGAACAGAAGATAGTTTTTTAAATCTAGGTAATCTACTACTTCTTACGATTAACACATTAGTAAAATTTTCTTACATAAAGGGGTGCCATCCCCTCTGCAGAGGATCAAAATTGTGATGGCATGTTTTCGGATCATCCTCTGGGATATTTCCCAGACCGTCGTCAATTGTGCGATGTGAATGAACTACAACAACAACGAATGACAAGGAAGCAGTTGAGTCACTGACTTGTAGTTTTAGTTACATCAGTGGCTTTTGCTAAACCAATAAGATAATTCTATTTTTCAAACGTTAATCCTGGATAATCTAAATTGAATTTATTTAGGATCGAGAGTTAAAGTTGCCTCTTGCTGCCGCTGTCCAGATTGATAAAACTAACTGTTCTGGAATCTAATCCTAGAGCGACAAAGACACACTAACTCTTCATTTTATTATTGTAGATTAGTACTTAACTATACTCATGTTTTCCTTATAGGTGATTTATGTATATTTGAAGTTTTCTCTCATATGGCAACATAAATTCGGGTATTGGTATATAGGTGATATTGTCGAATGGCGACACTATCGTTATTATTCATTTTCTTTGATTGGCTAAACAATAATTTAATAAGTGTTGAAAAATAGAGATGTGCTGAACTACATCCTTGAGTAGAATATATCAATCAATTCTCGTAATTTTGTGGTTGTGAATGGCAACTAGCTGTTTGCACTATTCCTATTCGACGATATGTATTTCCACTCTAATAAAAACATATTCTGATTGGTTACTAACTGATTAATTACCAATGAACAGGTAAGTGAAGTGACATCAATTTAGACATACCTGTTAGTTATATATTAAGTATTTATTTATATTCATTTTGTTAGATTGTCTTGAAGTAAAAATTAAAATAATGCTGTATAATTTATTAATTATACACTATTTATTTGGAATAATTTTGTATTTTTATAGAAATAAAAAAGAAGTAATTATTTAGCTTAATTTTTTTTTCTTTCCTTTGTCATTTCGAGCAATAGCATATATATAATACGATATTCAAGTTATGACTTGATTATAACTTTTGTAGTACAACACGTAATGGAGCATTTGGGATGAATTCTCTATCTTACCTCACGACAAAGATGGAAATTTTAATACTTCCTTTTGCTTACTATGCTCATATGTCCCGAACTCATACTTTCCGCGGCTAATGTGATTCAATGGCTCCCAGATAGATTTTAAATAGTTACTAAAACCCAAAGCATAAAGAACTTTGGACGGACATCTCTTGGAAATAGATCAAATTAAAACCAAAATACTTTCTCGCGGTCAAAGCGGTGGGAGGAACCTAGACGGTGAAAAAGTTGGGTTAATATATTGTTTAAAACTAATTGGAGGAGGGGTTGAAGGATTGGAATATTTAAATACAGTTGTGCTGTGCATTCGGCTTGGTTACCATTAAAGTTTATATGTTGTAGAAGGTAACTTTGAAAGGTGACCAAACTTGCCGGCCAAAGACGGCTAGTATTTAATTAAAGATATTTTTAAATTTAAATAATCTCTCTCAACTATGAAGGACTTCAGGCAATATAATGATAAACCACATTTTTCAAACTGCCCAGAAGACCTTTTTTTTTTTTTTTTTTTTTTTTTTTTTTTTTNTTTTTTTTTTTGGTAAGAAACACCACGACTACCTTGCAGACGATTAGATGTATTATAACTGTTTTCAAGAAAAAGGTTCCTTAAACTTATGAAGTACCTATCCGAAAAAAATACTAAGATTTATATGGTTGATGTGAAAATGTCACCTTCGAATAAAATGTGCCTTATTCTATTGTCCCAAGTTCATCGTGTATAGTATTGCTCTTGATCATAGATAGAATGAAAGAAAAAAGCAATTCGTAATTGGTAAAAAAGGCAAATT